AATATCTCTAACGCCCAACTATAGCTCAGTGACTACTTATAGTGAAATTCCTGATAGGATTATGGGAAGGTGACAATTCAAATGCCTTCATTTTATATACACTGTGCATTTAATATTTCATAATTCTTTTGCTACTTCTGATCATTTCAAGGACAATTCTAATTTTCTGAAAAACTAGAGACCTAATGCAAAGTCCTTGACACCAAATTTTGCTCAGTAAGTTTGCAATCCAAAGCTAAAACAAATTTTTGTGTATATATTTTCTGCTGCTCAAAAGTTATTAGTATCAGCGTTAAAAATATGATAATTCTGTATGTAGTGGCATCTAATTCTAGACATTACTGATATAGTGTCATTACTGATACAGGATTAATTATAATTCTTCAGCCCTATTCCCCAGGTGACAGCACTCTTGGGTGTTTGAAAGCTCAAAAATCAAAACAAAATAAAACAAAACAAAATGTATTTAAGTATTTCCAAGTAGCATTTTATTTCAATCATACCAATATTTTTGAGACATGAATGCTACAGAAAACATTAGTATTTCCTTGTCATTTTGATAATTTATTATGGAAATTCTTTTGAAATCAGGCAATATTTCTCAATGTTTTACTAAATTTGATAAACTGCTTAAAAATTTAATCCTCATTTAAACCAGTGCACAACTGTAAGTTATAGCATAATGCAAGTCGTATCCACAGCAAAACTTTCAAAGTTGGAATTTCTCTCTTATAAATATTCCACACATTCCACAGGCATGGGTCCCTACTTGGGAAGTTCCTGCTGTCACTGAATTCTCAGTTCCGCAGGTTTGCAGCCCTTTATTTGTGCCTGCCCTCGCCCACCCTTGCTTGGACACTGGCTCTTGCTCTGGTTGGCTGTTTGCAGTCTGTGCCCTTACTCCACCAACCTCAGGCAACTCAAAGCCATGATTTATTTATTAATCTGTATGCTTCTGCCTGAAGAACAGTCTCACATCACTAAAAAAGTGCTAAAATTCTATTTCACAGTTAAAATTTGTCATATTTTAAGAAAAGATCCCAATTTCCATTTATTTTTCTTATTTTCAGATTCAGACACACACACATCTGACACTTCCTGTCAGCCCGAGGTTCCACCTCCACCGCCTGTGGGCTTCAAGAAGTGCTCTCATGATGGGCTTTGTTTAGAGGGAAAACCGATGGATAGTGCCTCTGTGAGACCAGGAGCCGGAGGCACCAGGAGTGAACAGCTGCCCGCGTGCAGAGGCTGGACAGTTACAAACTCAAGCACTTTCAATGCCTCACCTCAGGTTAAAAACAACAAGTGCTATCATGTATGAGAGAACCGTGTCAGTAATAAATGAGCACATCCGACCCCTAATCTCTTCTGTACAGATCTAGACGCAGGACTGTGGCTTCTTCACATTGCAGGCCCCCCTCTCTCTGTGTCGCAGTGGTTCCCGAGTGACATTTGGTCCCTGCAGCAGCTGTGAAAGTGTTCTCTCTGCACGCCCCAGCACTGTTGCTTTCCTCCTGCCTTTTCAGCCCGGGCTCTCACTCTGGTACAGTTTCTTCGCTGCTCATTGCACTGCACCATTTCTGTTTCCCTTGCTCTTTGCCTGAATGTCTCCTGTGGGTGTCCTTGTCTGACACAAGTCTAGAAACTTCAGCAACAAAGTGGGCACTTGGGCATTAAATAGCCAAACAGAGTTCGTGAAATGCGAGATTTCTGGTACCACTGCAGTCTCTGAAGACATGGAATATCTCATCTTTCAACCAAAGGTTTGTTTTCCTCTCCAGTTATGGACCGTTTCATCACAATACAGAAGTTACATTCCTCCTGTGCTGAGCTCAGAAGCCATAGCCATATATATCCACGACAGGCGAAAACCCCAGTGAGTAGGAGTTCTTCCAAACTCTCTGAAACTGCTTCTTACATAGAGTCTAACCTTCAGGGAAGGAGAGTCTAGCCACAAAATTTCTGCTTAGAATACAATTTTAGGCCTAGGTTTGTTAATTTAGCCACTTAATATAATTGCTTCTGTCAGATTAAAAATCTAAAAGCACTGTTCTGAAAGATACTATTTGAGTATTATTTCATAATCCTAAGGGGAATTTTGAGGAGGTTGCTCAATAGAACGGCAATTTTTTTTTTTAAGATCCTACATGCTATTTTCCCAAAAAGTTAACTACTGCATTAAAAATAGCATCTTTTTCTATAAAGCTGCCTGGCCCTTGAGGGAGGTTTCTGTTTTCTTGGAATTTAGCACTTTACCACTTTACCTTTGCCTGTCCCTGTCGGTACCTAAATTACAATTTTCAAGTTTCTACTTCAATACATTTTCTTCTTTTTGTGTAGCAGTTACTAATGCTAGAGGACATTTGCTAATCTTACTTTGGAAAACAATTCTTTTCATTGTACCTGGCTCTGAGAACCAATGCTCATATAGTTTTCCTTCCAGATTTTTTAGATGAAGTTTCCCAATTTATAACTGACAACAGATACCTACTGTAGCTGAACATACTAATCCTAAGTGCATGTTAGATATCTCCTCTCACACATCCCCAAGATCTGTCCTGTTACTTAGCAATTCAGAAATGATCTAATAAAGTTAATGACCCATGAGGAAGGCAAAAGTAAACTCCTGTGATGGAACATTTTAATGAACTAAATGAGTCTGAATATATCAACTCTTAATAACTCACATGAATTGTTTTCTGAATTTAAAGCAAGATTTGATGTACAACCAAAGTCTTAGAGATGTAGGTTCAGTGGCTGCTTTCTACCTGTGAAGTATTAAAAAATGTTCCATCCAATCACTTCAAAAGTATGCATGATAGAAGAGCTTTGCTGTAGCTATCAGAAGAAACATAAAAGAAATATATGAAAGGATGACATTGGGATAATAAGAAAGAGTTGGCTGCAAGAATTTTTATGTAGATTATGCAGAAGCTGATAGAATTTCTGTTTGCATTCCATGAATGAACCAATAAACAGATTCCTATCTTCACAGTAAGAAAAGTTATTGAGCATGAGAAGGTTTGAAAGTCTCAACACAGGTAAATTACGCACTCTGACATTTTAAAGTGATTTCAGAGAAAATATAGTACTTTATTGACCACATTAGAATTGATGGGACTAGCCATAAACAAGGAGTAGGAGATTCTTCTAGACTATCTGAGAAACCATCAGTCACAACAGGGACCATGACAACATCTCAGAACTGCAGTCCCCCATCCTGCACTGTAACCAGTGTGGGGAGGGCATCAAATGTAACCTGACATGTTTCACCAAAAATTCTTCCCTTTGACACAAATCTGAGTTATAGACAGTGTCATGAAATATTTGTCTGCATCGTACCACGGAGCAGTTCTTCATGTACTATAACAAATGCCATCTCGTTTCAAGTCTTCCAAATTTAGCCCATCTCTCCCTTCCCTCTAGTGTCCCTTCCTTCCCTCAATCATCCCTCAAATGGAAATAGTTCCAGGTCTTCTTAACGTCATAGCAACTCTTTTAAAACTCTAGTGAATATTGTCTAAAGTGAGACTCACACTGGACACCGAGAATCCACGTCCCTATCTATGAACAGGAAATGAGAAGTTATTAAGTTGATCTAGAATCCTTCAGGGATGAATTTGGTCCAATACTGTGTTCACTGTAATCTTCGCAGCACAGACAGCATGGTTTGGTGATTGTGTTTGTTTTGTGTCTCTCCTAATGAAACATTTAAATCATTTTCATGTGTCAAAAGACATTTTAAAAATTTAAGCTTTTTCTGAGTGCTTTTTCAGTGGCTTAGGATTTTTGAGGGCTTCCTTTCTGTCATACATGCCATGGCAGCAAGTATAATGGGTATCAATTACTTTGTGTCCCCTACTCTCTGCGTGCTATGGTCATGGTATGTCTATTACTTGAGACAAGCTGACTTCATTTCCTTCCTCATTGCTGTGGTCTGAATGCATGACTTCCTAACCATTTTGGCAAAGAACAAGTGTAGTAGGTGTGAATGCTTTTGTCCCCACTGAAATTCATGTGTTAGAAACCATCGCCAACACAGCAGAGTTTGGGATGAAGCCTTCGAGAAGGAGTTTAGCTTATGAGGGCTTTGTCCTCTCAAGGGATTGACTCCTACTCTACAGAAATGCTGGGGGAACCCATGTACTCTCTTCTGTTCTTCTGCTTCATAAAAAAATACAAGTCTTGTTCCCTGGAAGATGGCAGCAATGGTGCTTTCAGGAATCTGGAGACCAAGCCCACCTCAATATAAACTTGGATGTCCCAACCTCCAAACTTTCAAATTTAAGAAAAGCTTTGTTCTTTATAAATTACCTAGTCTAATTTTCAGGACATCTTTTGACTTGTTCTCTTATGTCTTCTTCAATGCTGTTTTACCAAATAGAAAATTTCTTTCTTTGGATTTCATCTCTTTTCCTGAAAATAAGTTTGGTGATGTTCACTTGATTGCCCCAACATAGTCAGAACACAATGTGTGACATATAGAATGAAAAGTATTTCCACATCCATATCAGAGCGTTGAAGCTCGAGGCTAGTTACTATCTTTCCAGAATGTAGACAGTATAAACATGGTTTCTCTGTTTTACTATTTGCTTTGTTTCCCTAAACTGCTAGTATAACATCTGCCAGGGCAGGATGGATTCTCTACAGACATTGTGTTACCTCAGCCGATCAGCAACCTGCACCTCCTGGCAGAAGGGCAGGTTTCTCTGCAGCCAGCAGGCATCATTTAAGAGGCACAGACCTTGCATAAAGAGAAAGCTGAACAACCAGCCCAAATCTTTAGCATGCTTATGGGATCATTCATTCTGTCATGATCTCATACTGTCTCTAATGTTATTGATTTTGCTTTTCCATAGAACTGCTAAAGATTACAATTCTAAGACGCGAAACATGAGCAGATGCTCGCATTCTCACACACATTTCTGCCAAGATATTTTTACATCTTTCTGCACATAAAACAAAACGAAGACATGTGCTATAGACGCATGCTACCAGCAGCCAACCAGAGGAGGCGTATTTATTGTATGCTCATTTCCTGGATGAAGTATTAAAATAATTCTACCTAGGAAAAAATGAGCAGCACTTTCAAAAGGAAAGATTCGCTTCTGAGGCACCTTATAAAACACTCTAAATTGCCAGAACTCATGGAACCGGCAGTGTGGGCCATCACATCCAAATGTCATCTCTGCTATTTCTAATTCCATGCAAACTTCACACCACATCTACTGGTTACGCAGGAAAACAAAATGCTGCAAAAGCTTACAGCTCAGTGGGTACCATTCACCGACTATGTGCATCAGTAGGGCTCGTTTCAAATCTGTGGCATGAAAGGAAGTGAGAAAATTCAGGAGAGTTGGAACTAATCCCTCAAAAGAAATCCTCAGGAGCAAAATCTGTGGAATCACGGCCTTACCTTGGGGGTTGTAGGTGAGCCCGCTGTGCTTTCTTCTGCTAAGGTGAGCAGGGTTAACTTGGTTTCCTTCACAGGGGGATGCTTGGGAGGAAGAGGCGGGGGTCGCAAGACAGAGCTTTCGTATCTCCGCATCATGTAATACTGTTCTTCCGTAATCTCTTCTACCAGAGTTCTGACTGTATGTGATCCTGTGTCCCTGGACAAATTACTCACCAGCCGAAAAGTCATATTCAAGCGGCCAATGGGAATCTCCCAACATTCCTCCAGGTTGGCAAAGTCACTTATAAGTAGGTAAGAGTCTGTGATATCTTCCTCCAACTGCAATCCTGGGGTCGCAGCCAAAATGTCATCTTCAATGGAAAGGTCTCTCACAGACACCTTCACGTTGAATGGCAAGCAGAACTCCTTAGAGAGTTCAGAAATGTGGTACTGTTTCTTATCGTGAATCACCTCGACGAAGCCTCCCTCCATGTACAGAGGAAGCTGCGCTGCCTCGTAGGACTTTTTGAGGATTTTTTGACAGGCCAGAACATTCACCTCTGTCTTTTTCCCCTCACAGAGGACTTCCGTCGTCTCAGAGCGATGCACCAGATACTGGTCCCCAACAGAGACAGAGGACAGCTCCTCATGAGGAGAATGAAAGTCTTTGGTGGCCACCACATGGAGGAATTCCTTCTCACTCTTGGCTAGCTCCAGGTCGTAGGCCGTTGGGAACTCCCGAGGTCGCCTCTTGAATTTGCCTTTGTAGCTACTGGGAATCAAAAAGTGTCTTTTAGGAAAATTGCTTCTAATTTCTGAGGCTAAGATCCTTGATGCCTGGTACTTTTGATGGATCACAATGGTTTTCCCAGGTTGTAAAATATTTCGGGGCAGCTGGTTTCCGTGAGGTACTTCTATGACTTCAGCCACTATGGGAAACTCTTTATCGGTCATTTCAAAGAGATCTTCTGTAGATAACAGCTGAGGAAACCAGTTAGCATCATAGGAGTCGGTTATGTCTTTGACTTCAACATCTAAACTGGGGAGAATGCGGATTATATCCTTCCGAACTGAAAAGAAAGGAAAGAAAGAGTGACATTTCCTGCCTCAAATGTTTGCTGTGAGATACTCTCCTGGTACTACATCATTTCTCTTTTTTAGTTTTAATTTTTATTAAGACACGTTAATAGCGCATTCGTCGTGAGGACTTGGTATATAAACGTAACACATCTTATTTCTTGTGGGAAAGGAAAATATTCAGGTGATTCTAGTATGCTTCTGACATGTGAGCTTCATTTCTTTAAATTTTAAGAGGAAAGACATATCTAAAAAGTATACTTTGGTACAAAAAAAAATTTTAAAAATGTACTTTGACTTAGTACAATGGTCCTATATATTTTACTTGTAATTTGTCTGGTTTTCAATCTGTATATATGATAATTAACTTTATCTTATAAGGTCTTATGAGATAAATAAATGAATCTAATGTTGGAAAACTAAAAAGAAGTAGGAGGAAAAGGGAAAAAGAAGGAAATCTAAATGTAGGAATCCCCTCCATTGAATTTAGTAACCATTATTACCCAAAAAAAGTACTAATAAAAGTAAAAACAAAACAAAGCTATAATCCCATTTTTTAAAAAGAAATATACATTAACTGGTCCTTTGGAGCCATATAAACTCCCCCAAATCCTCCTCTTCCTTGTCTAAGGGCAAGCATTGTCTTGATTCCAACGTCAACCAGCCCTGTGTATGTACTCACAGTTTCATGGCGTAGTCTTGAATATAGATACATACTTAGGAATATGTGTATAAAAGTGATATGTGGTATCATTGTAAGTCTTATTTTTATACATATAAACTTTATATGTAAAATTGTTTTTTAAAAAACAGTGTTGGTATTCCAGACAAGATTCTTCATGGATAAAGTCCAACATGTATATTCTTTTTATTTATCCTGTGGGCTAAAAACAACACTGAAGATTCACCAGATATAAAGTACTTAAGATTAGTATAGGAAAAGGTTATCAAAATGCAGTCTTTTTCCAATGTCAAAGTTATTTCTTTTTCCACTAGTGCTGGGTTACTCTCAGAAAGCAAAAACACTGGTGACAGAAGGGTCACAGCTACTCAGAGCCCTTGGCAAAGCGACAAATGTTTTACCACTGTGTCCCCGAGGAAAAGTGAGTCACTATATTATTTCAATAATTCTTTGAGACCACAGAGACACAGTATTATCCTGAAACCATTAATCTGCTACCCACATATAGTATCAATACAAATGGTCCTGATTTTAAAATAAGGTTATGTGTTAATATGAGCAGGATTTTATAGCAGTTTGTGTGATTTTGATGTCCTTTTAACATAAGTCTTATAGCATTTTCATGGTCCACTACTGTTTCTTAGTATCTCTAGCCATTGTTAATATTCCTTCCAAGTTTTTGATACTGAGCAATTTAGAAAACTCAGAAGATACAATTCATTGTTATAAACATTACTTTTGTCATCACTTTTCATATCAGTAATTCTTTATGGAACATCTGAAATCCATAATGTAATAAATTGTATCATGTCATATAGGCCATGTAATAATGCTATAAAAACACAGCACGAAAAAGTATTACCTTATTTTCTTGAGAACAAAAATGGAAATAAATGGTTTCTTGAAGACTGAAAATTGAAAAGATTTTTAGATTTCTTAGGAAGAATAGAAAGTCTGAGAAAATATTTATCTTATCCATTTTATTTCATAAAGTTTAGTATACCCTAAATTTTGTTAAGTTATATTATCATAGGCTTCCTGAAACCTGCAGCAGTTTTAGAAACCAAAATCTTGTTATTTTAACAAAGGTGAATATTTAATAACTCCAGAGCTGGCTCTAGATGGGAATCCTAGGCTTCTATCAGCTCTCAAGTCTAGGGAAGAACAAGAGATCGATAGACTAACTAACATGAAGACTTTCTGGACTCTCTATATTAGCCTATCAGCTCACATGGACCCTAATTCAAAGCTACATCCCTATCTCTATTTGTACACAGTGGGTAGGAAATAATCTTGCTATCCTCAGAGGACTCTATCACTATCTGAGAAGGCTCCAGGGCAGGCTACCTAAACTTGGTGAATTTTCTGTAGCTGCTCACTGACCTGCCATGTACACTTCTGTTCCCAAATAGACTGAACTGATGTGAATGTGTCACACTACACATCTCACACATTTGACATAGTAGGTTTGACTCCTTCTGCTTGGATATTTTTCCCTCTAATCTTGTGATTCTTCTCAACTTTTATTGCTATTTTCTTTGTCTTTAGACATCAACCACTACTCATGCAGCTGTAATATATCTTGGTTCTCTAACCTTTTTTTTTTGTATATTCATTTCTAGAGCAATTTTGTACAGTGTTGTGTGTTTAAATATCTCTATGGTTCTGCCTCCTCCAAAGGATAGTCTAGAGAAGTAATTATCCTGAATTCCAGATATTTACTTAGATAGTCACTTTGCTATCTAGCAGATTCTCAGAATCAACATGCCCAAATTGAATCTGACCTTCTCATCAAAACCTGGTGTTATCTGGTGTTTTCCGTGTTTTAGTTGTTGGTCACACCTTTTTATTTCTGCAGACCACAAACCTCAGAGACATCCTTAATCTCCCTCTTTTTCTAACACGTGATGCCCTTTTCATTGGAAATACTATAGTCTTCCTACACTATTTCTCATCTGGTTTATCGCAGTGTTTTTTGAACCAGAATCCACACTCTGAAATCTCAGTGGAATGACGAGAGATCCTCTGTAAAGGCTGAATCAGTTGTGCCTGCCATCTGTTCCCATACCCACGATGTCAAGACAAGCCAAAGTCCTTACTTAGTCCTGGGTGCATGTGGATCTCATTAGCTAACACACCACTTCACTCTAACTCACTGCTTTTCTCTGAACGCAGCACAGTCTATTCTGCAGGGTTCTTCCCACTTCCGGCTCTGTCCTTCAGCTCCACAAGTTTCTACTTCAAATCTGCCCAAATACAATCTTGTCAATGAGACCTATTCTACAGGTTCCATTCAGCATTGCAAACATCCTCTGAACCTTTCTCTCTGTTTTCTATGTTACCCTTCACTTTCAACTACTTCATGCAACTTGCTTATTCATTATGACCATTGTCTATTCTTCCTTTTCTCAAATTGAAGCATTGTTTCCCAAGCAGTAGAGGTCTCTCATTGTTTGTCCATGAACATCTCGTTATTTACAATGGTGCCTGGCTGAAGCAGATATTCAATGCATCAATTGAAGGAATAAAGAACAATTGTCATGAGAGGGCACTTCAGTGGGCATTAAAAAGAAGAATTCTGTAAACAAGTATAGTTCCACATAAATTTTACTGGGGAAGAAAGTTTTTCACTGTTAAAACTCCTACTGTACATAACAGCAGATATTGTATACCTCTTTTAAAATATCTAAGGGTGTGATTGGCCTTAATGACTGGTTCAATAAAATAATACCTGCATTGCAGAAACTGAAGTTTCTACAAACCAACAGATATATTAGAGTACAAAATATGGGCAAAATGAAGTCTTCTTTGCTCAAGATTTAAATCTTTAGTTAAAAATAATAAGGAAAAATAACAATTTATATGGCAAAAGAAAAATTCAATATAAGGAAATGGCATATGCAAAGACAACCACCAACTCTTAGATGCATCAGAGAACTAAGGTTACAGGGCAGAGCACTAGCCTCAAAACTAGGCAGCAGGTGAGGCTGAAAGTTATAGCTTACTGGGAACAGGAACTACAGCAGGACTTCAGCAACTGGTGAGAGCATCTCAAGAGTAATGCATTAACTGCCGCAAATTAAGAGTAGAGTAGCTTGAGAGAGAAACTCCTAAAGAGGACCTCCCCAAGTTCCTGAATCTTACTACCAAGGGTCTCACAAGTTCACAGGGTGAGGACCGGAGAAAACCCCCCAGGTGCTATCAGTACCATGAAGGAAAATATGACCATTGTACAATATAGCCGGAACACTATGGTTTTCTTCTTAAAAGTCCTGTCTTCAGGGAAAACTGCTTCACCACAGCCTAATCAACTTGATGGTTTTTATCACAGCCTGATCTTCTATGTGGGGAAAAGGAAATGCCCAGCTTCAGCCTTCTCTGTAATTCCATGCAGGGAGGGGAAAACCCCAGCTCCAGCCTCAGCTAACCATTGCGCCTCCCTATAGGAGAGGAAAAGCTGAGCTGCAGTTCTGAACATTGCATCTCAGATGCACAAAAATATAGGTTATACAAGGCTCCCACCACCAAAATCCCTCCAATGCATCACAGGGCTTCTGGGTCATGACCGGAGACCCCAGGTGAAAGAATGATATTTAAAACCGTACATAATACAAAGTCTCTAGGGAAATGCAACAGAGGTGACAAAAGCAAGGACACTATAGGGAATTTCATTTTCTGACCTCTACAGCTACAAAGGAGTCCATCTCCAAAGGAGACAAACATAAAACTTCTCACTAAATGACTATTTGCCTCATTTCTTCTACCTGAAAGGTCCTAGCTGGCTTTCCAGAACAAAGCAAATAAAAATTAAACAAAAATAGTTCAAAGTATGGTTAAGTGGCAAGTTACAAAAATATTTACATTTATGTTACAAGGTAAAAGTGGTTTAGTATAAAAAAGAAACAAAGCAAGTAAAACTACCACATTCACACATGGTGGAGATTTTGGATTACCAGGCCAGCAGTTTAACATGTAATAAATAGATTAAGGACTATCAATAACAAAAAGATGTATAAAATCAGTAAAGGGATGGACTGTCTAGGAAAAATTAAAAAGAAATTATAGAAATGAAAAGTACAAGAACAGAAAGGAAGAATGAGCCAGCCACGGTAGTACACACCTGTCATCTAACAGGATTGAAAGTTCAAGGCCAGCTTGAGAGACTTGGAAAGAGCCTGTCTCAAAATTTATAAAAGAAAGAAAGAAAATATAGCTGGGGCTGAAGTGTAGTGAAGAGCACTGACCTAGCATAGATGAACACTGGATTTGACTCCAGTACTACAAAAAAAGGTAAGTGAGTAAAAGAACTTAAAACATACATAAATGATCAAGAATTGATGAAATAAAATGGGCACTGACAAGGGGAAAATTGACAAGCTTGAAGATGTACTAATTTGAGTTTCTGAAATTGAAAAGAGAAAGAACAAGGTTTTAAAAAAACTGAAACAAAAGATCAAAGAATTGTGGGACAATTAGAACAGATATAACATGCCCAATTTGGGGATGTAGGAGAGGAGCAAACGATCTGCAGTGTTAGACTGAGAATTTTCCAAATTTAATAAAGGACAGAGAACAGTAAATATCATGAACACCAGAAATAGCTATATTCATAAACATGACATTGAAACCCAGGGAAGGAAAATTAAAAACCCTTACCTAGAGAGGAATAAGAACGCCATTAAGTTGTAATTTTTTCCAGAAATTATGCAAGCAAGAATAGAGTAGACTATGGACTTAAATACTGAAAACATTAAAGTTTTGCACACAAAAATAATCTTGTAAAATTATTTTTCAACATTAGAGAATAAATATTTTCTCAAGCAAAAATTAAGACAATTTGTTACTAATGCATGCCAGAAATAGTTTTTAAAAGTTCTTAACAAAAACAGCCAGTAGTAAAGATGCACATAAAGAATGAAAAAAAGGTTAAAGATTTTGTTTTTAGTCTGTTGGTCTAATAAATAACAGATTGTTTAATATAATAGCACAGGCATATTGGGTGATTATAGCTTATGGAGAAGTGAAGGTAAAGTTTAAGGGCTACGAGGAAAAGATTGTGAATATACTTGGATACACAGTCTTTTCATATCCATGAAATTATTTGTGTTGTTTGAAATTAGTTGTGAATTCAATTGAGTGTAGATGCATATTTCGAAGTCTAGGACTGCAATTTAAGTTTTTTTATATACTATCATTGATATACTAAAAATGAAGAGAAATGAAATCATACGGAAAAAAAATAAATGCTAAACTAGAAAAATAATAGCACACCTAGTTTTTGTTTTTGATACTTGGACTCATGACATTGCACTTGCCACTATACCACTGAGCTGTATCCCTCATCCAGCACATCTAAATTTGAGATAAAGATAAAGACAAACGTTATGAAAGCATGGCCTGTACATGATTCTCTGAGAATGGAAAAAAATTAAAGAGCAAGATAGAATAGGACAGAGAATATACTGCACAGCACGAACACCATGAGCAATAGAAAGTAGAAAAATTGGGAACTGTCAGTAATTAATCAATGATCTGGCCTTTTGAGAATTTCAGTTAAAGCAAAGCTGCTCATAATCGAGCTCATAGAAAGTAAAGAGTGTGACCATAAACTGACCCCTTGAGTGGCAGTCTGAGGAATGGTTATGTATTCTAGGAAGAAATCCAAAATAGTTTTTAAGGAAGACTAAAGTAAATTTAAGGATTTGACTGGCTAGTTGAATAGCTCAATGGGAGGAAAGATTGAAGAATAAGAATCTAATTCTCTTTACTATCGGTCGTGTATAGGTTTCAAATATACTGGCAACTCAATCCTCTCACGTCAGTTAGCGCTTTGAAATCCTTTCCATTTTGTACACTATTCTCTCCATTTTTCATGTATTTTAGTTTCCCACAGATAAAGTCACAATTTATGTTTGTTCAAAG